GGAATTTACTACATATGTTCTTTCACTTTCAAGTCATAATAATAATATCAAGAATAATATCATTTTATTAAATGTTGACAAAAATTGCTGTTCCAGGAAGATTTCAGCATACTTTTTTTCTTATATTAATGTTGCCACAACTAAGCAGTAATACAGTTAAGATAAAGTCTTAAAATGACCACTACAATAAACATTTGTTTTGAGTCATAATAAAAGCCAGATAATTATATATATGAATTTGTAAATCAGGCAGGTTGTATTACTGGGTGATTCTTCAATTAGGGGAACTTTTATGTCCCCAGGTTATACAGTACATTCATGTTAAAAATACAATATTATAAAATAAACAGTTTAGTTATTTAAAATTATATTTATTGTACCACGAAAAAATGTTATACACTAAAATCAGTATGATTTCCATTTTTAAAATTATTTTCATCACTAATATTTGGCTATTCAGGCCTTGTCCCCAACCCAGACTCAAAACTTGTCTGCTCTGAAAATGTGATAAAATGTAATCAGTTCATTAAACAATTACAATATATGTTTAAACAGTAACTTTAAAAGGCACTTGATGCATAATTCGGGTTAATATCTGTGCAATTTGTGAATATTTTTAACAATTAAGTATTGTCCACAACAATACTGTCATTACCGCAACAGTCTATAATTACAACAAGGATATTTCTGAGGGTGAGACTTGTTTATGCCGTAACCATGGAAATGAAGACTAGAAGTGGAGCACATGTCAGCCATGAAAGAACAGTGAAATTTGATGTCTGAAAAAGTAAGTTATTTAATCTTGAATTCTTTCTGATCATGGAGTAGACTTATTCAGCGTCATTACCATAAATGTTGTAGCAGCAATATTTTGATACATTTATATATACATTCACGTGATTTATGTGTATTTAAAGTTTTTTGTACTAGCTGTTGAGTAATGTTAGCAAAACCATGACCTAGCATCTTTTTTTCCTGAAAAAAAATTAAAAATATCATTACCGCAACACGTCATTACCAACACACAACTTGTTGTGATGGTAATGCCAAGTGATGGTGGTAATGACATGTTCCGTGTCACTATCTATATCTTATTGTGTGTTTATTAATTAAGTTAAAGAAGCATAATACTGTGGTTTTACAGTGAAACTTAAGTGATAGGTCTTACTTCATAAAACAATTTTTTCTTATTTTTTTAACCAGAATGGCTTCCAAGAAATCAACAGAAAGGTCTAGAGATTATAGAAAAAAATTGAAGGGAGATCCTGTAAAATATCAGCAGTATGTTTACAGAGAAAAAGAAAGATACAAAAGAAGAAAAGAAACAGGAAAGCTTAAAGTAATCTCACACTTTAAGGCATTTTTCCACTACACAGTACCAGCTCGACGGTGTTAGGCCTACCACTCATAAGCAGTGTGGAACCTGTGTTAGGCTGGGTCCATACGTTGCGGTCCCTACAGTGACGGGAGTGTGTGATGCAAATCACGCACGCCAATTACATTGGCTCGTTCAATAGTACTCGAAGAACATAGGCTCTCTGGCGCGATCCCCATTCAGTCAACAGTCGACAACGTCCTCCGTTCCCTCCTTCAGAGAACGGTGGGTTGCATACGCAACCAGGGTGATTTCTTTTAACAACACTCACCAAAAGTCATTATTTTAAGCCTTTAAATTTGCTTTACATATCAGTGCACTTTTCATTTATGTCATTACCAAAACACTATGTCATTACCAGAACAGTATGTCATTACCGCCACGTTGCTTAATTTACAGCAAATGTACCTTTAAAAATGTTTTATGTTCAATCCTGAGGTGCTACATGAAAAGCCTAATAAAATACTCATTCACCTATTCAAAGAAAAAACATCTAAAATTAATTTTCCAGAAATTAAACAAAAGTGTGCTTTGACGAACACAGAAAAATACGTTTTTATGGTAAGAACAAGAAAATATCCGTAATTCGCTGAGTGGAAACATTTTGTTTTTTATACGCATTGTTAAAGGTTAAAACTATTTGCAAGATAAATGAGTTTAAATGATCTCCTTGATACATTCTGTGCATTATAAGACTTTTTGATGTTGTGATGGGAATGACATTTTGAAGTGCCAGTTGACAAATAGATATAAAATACTCAAATAATATTTAAGCTCAGTTGCGGCCATTATTATATCTTTACATCAAAACATGTAAACATTGTCTTGACATAATTCTAACAAAATTTAACCAAATTTCATTAATCAAAATCTAAGATGGCAAAATAGCCCCCAATTGAAGAATCATGCACGTAACACCTTTGAGATATGGACACAGGGTCTGAGTGTGCAAAGATCTAATTTTGGGTGTAATATGTAGCTATAATAATATTTGTTTACATAAGTAATTAATAATGGTTTGCCACTGTAATAAACGTTTTTTTTGTGTGTGTGAATCTAGGTGCTCAGGATGCAGCAGCTGCACTAATACAGGATTTGGAAGCGGAAGTCAGAAGGCTGGAAAGTGAGATTATGCAGCTGAGAATAGGTCACTCTCTGTCCCAGTTTCAGAGATTCTGTGCTTCAGATGAAGACATACGTTTTTACACCAGGTTTCCATCTGAAGAGCTCTTCCAAGCATTCTGGAAGGCGATTGAGCCCTCAGCATCCATGTTAGTTTACTGGTCTAAGGCCCAGAAGAAAGGACAGGCAACTTCTGTGGAAGCTTCTCACAGTCATCACCGCAGCTTGCCACTGATTGATGAGTTTTTTTTGTACTCCTGTCATGTTGCTGCAGGACTGAAGGAGAAAGTGTTGGCTGACATTTTCAAAGATAGTGTCTCCACTGTTAGCCGCATCATAATAACTTGGGCTAGCTATCTTTATCTTGTCCTGGGATCACTGCCCATATGGATGAGCAGAGAGCAAGTGAAGGCCACCATGCCAGAAAAATTTAGGCAGTTCTGTCCAGAGGTGAGGGTCATCATTGACTGCAGCCAACACGATGCCATGTCAGCCAACACGATGCCAGAATCCATCTTCACTCATACTCCAGTCTGAGGTGTTCTCCTCATATAAAAACACCACTACCTTCAAGGGGTTAATCGGTATTGCTCCTTGCGGAGCAGTTACTTTTGTTTCCAGCCTGTACGCAGGTTCCATCTCCGATCAAGAGTTGACGAAACAGTCAGGGATTCTTGACTTGCTGGAGCCTGGTGATGCTTGTATGGCTGACAAAGGATTCACCATTGAGAAGATGCTGGCAGAACGGGGGGCCAAACTCATCATACCACCTTTTAAAACAGCAGCTCAGTTCAGCAAAGAAAATGCGGAGAGAACACAAGCCATAGCTCGTCTTCGAATTCTTGTTGAGAGAGCCATCAGAAGAGTGAAGGAGTTTCACATCTGGGACACCACTGTACCTTTAACCCTGTCTGGAACAGTTAACCAGCTGTGGACTAACTGCTGCTTAATGAGTAATTTTCAGTGGCCACTTGATGTTAAAGGTCACAAAGGGGTATGTACATCTTAGCCTTTTTTATTTTAAAGGGATAGTTCTTTAAAGGTGCCATCTAACATCATAAATCAAATCCTACTCCATATTCCATAACAGATGGGGGCAGTATACCTCCAAAAAATGACTTGTGCTCCAACCATCGCGCATGTTATTCAAATCATTTGACATGATAGTAAAAGGTTGGAAGACCGCAGTTTCACGTGGAACATTTGGAGATTTTTAGAGATCAGAGACTCGATGAACTAAACACTAGAGTGAACTAAACTAAACACTATGAATCTCAACACTAAATGATGAAGACCGCCTCATAGATCTCAAAAAAAAGCTGGTGCATTTCGACGGTATGGGAAAATAAAAGCTTGGGCAATAATTATTTGAAGTTTATGGTATTCGTTTTGTTCATATTACACTTTTATTGTTAGTGATTAATTTGACAGACAGCATTCGCTGATGTTGATCAAGCTAGCGCCGTGAATTCACCGTGAGACACACGCAATTGACACTTAGCAAGCAGGTTAGTTAAGCTCTCAGTATCTGTCAATTATATTACGCAATTCAAAGAATAAATACCGTTTTGGCGCTTGTACATGTTACACTACAGATCCCTAGTGCACGTGAACCGATCGTCTCTACTAGCTGAAAAAAGAACACGAACACTGGTGAAAGATACAGTATGCTACAACTTACCAAAATGTATTCCTCATGCATAATGTCGACCAATCATTTTTTGAACTCTTCCCTGAACTGAAATGTAGTAATTGGCTGTATTTCCACACGACTGACATCAGGTTCAAGTACACACAAGCCGGCGCGAGCGCGACTCACTCGTCTATTGCAGTTTGGCTGGTGCTAACGTTGCCCGTCCGCATACCGCCTCCCATGGCCGGAACTGGTATTACGATACCTGCCGGGCCGGGGCTAGTAATTTAGCATGCTAATTCAGGTTAATATCTCGGCAGCACTATAACTTGTCAGTTTTTTAATGACATCTTTGCACTTATTTCTTCTCATTCTTTTGATGCGTGTAGCTCATTTTTCGTATATTGTTACCTCAATTATTACATATGCCACCTTTAAAATACAAATTCTGTCATCATATACTCACCCTCAAGTTGTTTCAAACCTTTATGAACTTTCTTCTGCTGAACACAAGGGAAAATATTTTGAAGAATGTCAGTAATCAAACAGTTAACTGTATATTTTGTTCTTTCTATGTAAGTCAATGGGAAAGTGAACTATCCCAAAAAGAGTGACTTATGTAATAAAATGTATTATATCTTAGTTACACCTTGTATTATATTTTTTCACATTGTATAGTTTAATAGATGACTACTCTTGCATTGTTGAAATAAAGCAACAATTGTATTTTCATAAAACATTTATTTTAAATCATATATCAGTGTTAAAACATACATTTATACAAATATAAAATCTTGAAATCATCACAATTACAGACATAAATAAAAATAATTTACAAAAAATTCCAGACTATCTTCTTTTTGTACAGGATTAGTAGTATACAGTGCAAATAGCCCTATTACATACCCCCTTAAGAAATTCATCCATGTAAGCACCAAAGTAGTAAAGGTCCAGATTTTCTCGCATCTGGGCCATCATGACATTATCCCTCCACACTCTTTGAACTGTCATGTCCTCTTCAGTGTCAGTGATGAAGTCGCACCAACTGAGTCCAGTTACAGCCAGCTGACCTTGAACCTGCCAGTAATATTTGTGAGATTTTTTCAGGGTTGCCTGTCCATTCACAATTTTTATATGCCCAACCTCAGAAACTGTAGGAACATCTGGGCATTTCACTTCAGTAAGCCCGAAACAGGGATCTGCATTAGGGTCATAAACTTTGGCATCAGGACTGCCACCAAGGTAGGACGCATCTGGGTGCACAACGAAACCACAAGGTGAGACATTCACATTAAACAGTTCAGAGTAACGTTCCAGCACCTCGGGTTCCCTGTCAAGGCCTCTTTTCATTGCCCTAGTTTGCTTTACACCCCTGAGTATCCGCCTTGCCAGTGCCTGGCCAGATGTCTCCCCTCGCACATGAGAAACCTCATAAAATCGGCTCGCAGTCACTCTAGGCTTGCGCATGCTTTTCCACAGTGGACACTCGGATTGTTCCTGAGTCCGCTCCTCTATTATAACTGCCAACTCTTGTGTGACACTTAAGCTCTCCAAATGGAATAACTGGTGACAGTTTGGCACGAAGTGCAAGCTCCTCAGAAATTTAGAACCATTAATAGGGAGTTTAGGGTACACAGGAGCATCTGGATGTTTAATGTAGTTCTTGGTCACAACAGGACGGCATTGGTAGGAGAGCACTGAACCTCGAGGCACAGGACCAAATCTGGAGTCCACCAAAATCAGTTCTGAAAAACCGGTAAGGACGCAGGAAATCAAAGGTTGGGGAGTGAGTCCTTTGACAGCTTCTCCAATAGCCAATACTGCTGGGTCAGGGAAGTGACCTAAAACAAATTATACGTTTAGGAAACTTTATCACATGGGTATTACATTTTTTATGTGCTGTTATACCATGATCTGTCTGAATACTTGATTCTTATTGGCTGGAAGTGTGCAGTAAAACAGTTTAATCCACAGGTAGTTCCAGTCAGTTTAATCATTGTTCTATGTTAATGTGCTACTTTCAATAAACCAGAGATAGGAGATCTCTATCACACCAAATTTAATTACTAAAAGTCTTTCTCAATTAAAATACATACTATAATTAATGTAAAAAACTGTGAACCTCCATGTTATACATTAAAATATTTTTATGCACAGCTTAATTATTTCTTATGTAATCTAAAATATACATATTTATTGAATGAAAAGTTTCTTTGTTGCCAGTGTATGCTCTGTAGAGTGTAGATTTGCATACACTTCAGGAAGACGTCTTTGGCTTTCTGACCACCAACTGATCTGTAGTCTCTGCAGAAATCCCCTGAAAGCGAAACTTTATAAGTATATTTTAACTAACTGTCAGAAATTTGCTAAACTAATGTATAGCTAGTTGTAATGTTACCCGTGTTTTTGGTCTATGCCATGTTTGCAGAGTGTCTGTGCATGCCGTAGATGGTGTTACTGTCTACATCTGCATCATGCTGAAGTGCGCAGTTTGAAAAAGCATTGCAACCAGATGATTGCATAAAGCTTTGCCTGCAGTATGTGCATGACGAGCTAGTGAACTCAACAGGCACTGTGTCAACATTCAAAGTGATCTAAAGAAAAAGACAAAATCCAATATCAGTATATTTTAATATAGCAAGTTTAATACTAGATTATAGACCATTTCACAAGATGTAAACACTGGTCCAGAAGCATACTGTTTCAGTTTGTAACCGTTTTCTTTATTTCACATGTAAAGAAAACATCTTAAAGATGTTTGTTTAACTTTTTGATTCAGTTTTAAATGTTCTGTTGGTTGTATTTTATCCCAGCTTTTATGTAGTGTTAAAAAACTGAAACAGGAAGTGCTTCTGGACCAGTGTTGTTTACATCTTGTGAAATGGTCTATATATAGAACATTCATGAGAACATCATGAAAAAATGAATTTATAGGAGAAACCCCCTCAAAATAGAAAATTGCAACCGCAGTAAGAAAATAAAAACTTCCCCTTTTACTGTAAGCTTTATAGTTTCACAGACAAGACATTAATTCAGTCTCAGACTAAAATGTATGTTTGAGCTGTTTTAACTGAAAGCATATCTTAAAATAAGCCAGTGTCATTCTTTTGTCTCAAGATGCATACCAGTAAGGTTTTTCTTTCTAAGGCATATTTATTAAAAGAAGAAAAGCTACTTAAACGTTCTAATTGAACTAAAGCCTGGCTAAACCCTGTCTGTGAAACCAAGCCTTCATTTCTTATCAAACCTGCAGAGAATGTGGCTCCTCACGCTTCCTCGTCGACCTATAACACCTACATCTCACGATAATCTCCCTGTTTCTCACACTCGACGCTGAATATTGCATGACAAAAATGAACAATCACATTAAAGATTATTAAGACACATTTTCAGACTATTTTTATCTGTTTAAAAGACTCTTCAGTCTATAAGCTGGTAATTTATTCAAGAACTGCTATAAATTGAATATTGTTCGACAAGACGAAAAACATCCGCTGAAGTCATTGACGGTATATTTCTCAGGGAAGTTGTGAAGAGCGCGTTTGACTCCATTTCACCGGAAGTGTCTTTACACAACAAACGCTGAACCGGATGTGCGTTCTAACTTCCGTGAAAAAGGCCTATTATCACTCACAAACTACAGTTCCCAGAATTCACTGCCCGGACTCATCATCACTGATCACATTCACCTGTACCTCATTCACTGATTGCATTCACCTGTGTCTCATCCTGTTAGTCTGTCTATATATAGACGAATCCGACGAGCGTTCTTGTGTAGGCTGCCATCTTGTGGCGACGCCATTACTGAGCTGTTACACCGGCATAGACATATGCACCAGTATGTAAACAAACCTCGGAGATAAGGTGATAACGCACCCTTGATGACAGCTACAGCCAGGCAGACTTGTTGGGTTGATGATGTTAGACATTGGCCTCCAGTCACAGATGAAGGTACAAACGATCTTACAGATTATTTATGAAAATAGCTTGGCAAGCAAGCTAGGCTAACGTTTGCTATCGAGGAAACTAAAAAAAGATCTGTCCATTTGGCAACAATAAATAAATGAAATCAAATAAACAATTTCATGTTTTTCATTTGTGTCCATTGTTTATCTCATTTTTACATTGCAACGGGCATGGGTAAGGTAACGTTACAGCTAGAAAGTATACATAATATCGACCAACTACTGTTTTTAAACCATGGAAAGAAGTCAATATAACAGCAGGAGAACAATTATGTCACATAACGTTACATTCAGCTCAGGAAAGCCATTTAATGACCATAGCATGTAAATTGAATAGAAAAAATAACAAGAGAGGAGATTTTGCTGATCACTATATCACACATTTATTATATTTTTTTACTTATGTCATTAAATAATTGTTATTATACGCGAATGTCCGCGTCTTGTACTCGCCCAGGAAATCTGTGTAAACCGTACGGCACCAGACAGGGGCAGTCGACCCGGGGTATTCACAATGTTTTCTCTTCAAAATTGAAATTTTACTGCCACCATTAAAACAATTTATAACGGAAACTGTTTACCCACTCGACATTATACAAGGGCTAACGTTGTAACGTTAGTGACAGTCGTAAATCGCGAGCTGTTTATTCCAGTGGACGCAAGTTGCAACTAAAACAATAGAAGGCAATGGCGCAACGCTACCCAGCAACAGCTCAGTAATGGCGCCCGCTTACTTCCGGTAGTTTCGCCGGATTCGTCTATACCTTGTGTTCACATTCACTGTTTGCGAAGTCTTGTTGTACTGTGTGTCTGCATTTCTGAGCGTGTTCCCGTGTTTGTTTTTCTGGTTTTTGATTTTGGATTGTTCTTGGACTCTGATTATTGCTGCCTGCCCTGACCTCTGCCTGTTTTTTGGATTCCCACTGTGTGTTTTCCATTGCCCTGTCTGCTGATTCTCGACCCTGCCTGTACAACTATTCTTAATAAAGCTGCATTTGGATCTACATCTCCCAGTCTCGGAGCCGTTCATTACAGAAGACTTCGCCACTTCAGATCCAGCAGCCGAGAAAGAACCGAGATCCACTCTCTCTCCAGCCTCTTCCACCTCAGCCAAGGTAACCGATCTATAGAGGAATATGTTGAAGAATTTTGTGAGCTCTGCCATGGGGTGAACTTTAAAGATGCTATCTTAAAAGAAATTTTTCGAAATGGACTGAATGAGCTTCTTAATTACCTCTTGCCTGACAATACCCCTCACTACACTCTAGCTCAATATATTGACATTGCCATTCGGTTAAGCTCTGTCCTCCACATCAGCCCCGCCGAGCCTGAGCTCCACGTCAGCCCTGCCGAGCCTGAGCTCCACGTCAGCCCTGCCGAGCCTGCGCTCACCGTCAGCCCTGTCAAGCCTGAGATGCTTCACGTCACTTCTGCCGATTCAGAGACTGTTCAAATCACTTCTGCTGACCCAGAGTCTGTTCACGTCACTGCCTCCGAGCCAGTGTCTACGGACAAGATGGCCAACTCCGAGCCAGTGTCTACGGACAAGATGGCCAAACCAGAGACTATTCACATCACTTCTGCTGATTCAGAGACTGTTCATGTTACTTCTGCCAATTCAGAGATTGTTCACATCACTTCCTCTGAGCCAGTGTCCACAGACAAGATGGCCGAGTCAGAGACTGTTCAAATCAATTCTGTTGATCCAGATTCTGTTCACGTCACCGCCTTCGAGCCAGTGTCTACGGACAAGATGGCCGCCTTTGAGCCAGTGTCTATTGACAAAATGGCCGATTCAGAGACTGTTCATGTTACTTCTGATAAATTCAGAGACTGTTCAAGTCACCGCCTCCAAGCCAGTGTCTAAGGACAAGATGGCCGCCTCCAAGCCAGTGTCTATGGACAAGATGGCCGATTCAGAGACTCTTCATGTTACTTCTGCCAATTCAGAGATTGTTCACGTCACTGCCTCCAAGCCAGTGTCTAAGGACAAGATGGCCGCCGCCGATCCAGTGTCTCTGGACAAGATGGCCGATCCAGTGTCTATGGATAAGATTGCCGATCCAGTGTCGGCTCCCGAGCCAGTGTTTGTTTCTGTGTTTGTGTCTGTCCTTGTGACCATTTATGTTCTAGTGTCTGTTCCTCAGCCTGTGTCTGTTCCTGAGCCTGTGTCTGGTCTCGAGCTGGTGTCTGGTCATGAGAGGGCATCACTGCCGTGGCCGCCCGAGGGGTCTTCACTGCCGTGGCCGCCCGAGGGGTCTTCACCGCCGTGGCCGCCCGAAGGGTCTTAACCGCCACCCGAGGGGTCTTCACTGCCGTGGCCGCCTGAGGGGTGTTCAACGCCGCGGCCGCCTGAGGGGTCTTCACCGCCGTGGCCGCCTGAGGGATCCTCACCGCCATGGACGCCCGAGGGTCCGACAGCTCTGCCCTGGGGGCCCGAGGTTCTGACAGCTCCGCCCTGGCTTTCGCCTTGTCCAGCTCCGCCCTGGCCTTTCGCCTCATCCTGCTCTGCCCTGGCCTTCGCCTCGTCCTACTCCGGCCATGCTCTGCGGCCCAGGCCTGCCTTTGCTACCTTCTAGCCATTCCCCTTACATCTCCCAGTCTCGGAGCAGTTTATTACAGTCTTCTTACAAACGCCGAATAAACGCCTCAACGGACGGGACATTAGTCTCCATCTCCTGGGAAGGAAATGGAGGTGGTTGGTACCCGAGACAGCTGTGAAACCAAGATAAGCCGGTGGCGGAGGACGGAGAAGAATTGTAGGCATACTCAGCCCATGGGAGTTGATCAGCCCATGAGGAGGGATTACAAAACGCCAGACTGCAGAGAATACAACCAACAATTTGATTAGCGTGTTCGGCCTGACCGTTAGTCTGCGGGTGATAACCAGAAGACAGACTGGATGACGCACCGATCTGACGGCAAAATTCCCTTCAGGATAATGACGCAAATTGAAGTCAATTCAAGTCACATTTATTTATGTATTGTATCAAAGCAGCTTCACAGTGATAACATGAAAGTAATACAAAACAGATCAATAATGTTGTTGAACATTAAATGTCCCCAACTAAGCAAGCCAAAAGCAAGGCAACAGTGGCAAGGAAGCAAAACTCAGTTGGGGCCTGACTGGCCAAGGAGAACTGGCCAACATACATATTGTTTCAAAGCAGCTTTACAGAATGTGCATTTCAGAAAAGTACATGGAAAAAATACATTTAGTTAAACATGTAATATTAAGGGCATAACATATCGTCGGCGCTGAGTCGTCTCTTCACAGGCGCCGAGTCGTCTCTTCACAGGCGTTGGGGCATCTGAAGTCTCTGTGAGAGGCTGGATACAAAACTGAGGCTGACAAACGTCATTTTTCAGCAGAAAGGCAGATGGGAAATAATTAACATAGCTGATGTTCATAATGATTTCCATTACACAAGAGTAGATGTAAAAAAACACAATCTCACAAACCCAACCATACGCGCCGAACCGTTTGACTAAGGCTGTCGAGCCCCACTGTCGCGGAAATGCGTTTCAGTGGCAATGGTTCCGTATGGCATACCACCTACTGCAAAAACACAATATCTGCCCAACCACCCGTCATCCACACAATACACACAGGAAAGTAATGACTGTAAGTATGCAACCAATACAAATAACCTACAGACGTTTCAAGTTTTAGAGTATTAATGCATTTGATCTGATTCAACAGAGGAATAAAAGGTTAAGCATTATGTGAATGCTTGACTAAAGAGATGCGTATTTAATCTAGTTTTAAACTGTGACAGTGAGTCAGAGCATCGGACCGTATCGGGAAGGCTATTCCAGAGTTTTGGAGCTAAATGCGAGAACGCGCTCCCTCCTTTAGTGGACTTAGATATCCTAGGAATGACCAGAAGCCTCGAATTTAGTGATCATAAAGAACGTGGTGGATTTTAGGGCGAAAGAAGGTCCATTAAATACACAGGAGCTAAACCATTTAGGGCTTTATAGGTCAATAGTAGTACTTTGTAATTGATACGGAACTTAATAGGTAACCAGTGTAGAGATGATAAAATCGGTGTTATATGATCATATTTTCTTGACCTAGTAAGAACTCTAGCAGCTGCATTTTGTACTAACTGTAGCTTGTTTATTGAGGATGCAGGACAACCGGCTAATAAAGCATTACAGTAATCTAGTCTCGAGGTCATGAATGCATGAACTAACTTTTCTGCATCAGAAACAGATAGCATGTTACTTAGCTTAGCAATGTTTCTAAGGTGGAAAAAGGCGGTAAAAGTTGAGGTGTATTTGCTGCCTTTGTCAAGTTTCTGGGGGGATTCTCACATCAGTTCTGCTTTAAACTTGAAAAATGCTTAGTCAACCACGGACACAGGAATCATCTCAAAAATGGCTTTTACTTTCACTCTTCATTAAAGTTGTTACAATCTTAACTTGCAGTCTCTTCTTTTCATTCATGTCACAATACATTGGAACAGATGAGCTTCATTTGCAGTCAGATTATCTTCAAACAGTAAATTCTTTGATAGAAGGCTTCAAGCTCAAACTAGGTTGATAACCTTTTTAAAAGAAAAACAGGAAGAGAAAAAAAATACAAGATCTAATTATAAACGGATATTGACATTACATCACAGCAATATACACTCTACTAGACATTTTAAATTCATTTATAGATAATACTCTTATTCACAATCGTGTAAAATGTCTCATAGCAATATAAATCAATCAAGCGTCAAGCAGTCATCCTACCAGCAGCGTCTCGGGTTGATTAATCACTGATGCACATTCGATTTGCGTTGTATTTCTCTCTCATACCTCATAACTTCCAGTTACAAAGTTTTCCCCATTTTGTAGGAGGGAAGCTGGAAAAGCCTGCAAGCGACAAGCATTGTTCTCATTTTTCTTGTTTTTGCCTGTGCTTGGTCTCTATTGCGCTCTGAGGAATCAATCTTTATCAGGTGCGCTCGTAATTAGGGTTCGGCTTTTTCCGACATATGCCGGATGACGTCACCCGGAAGACGGCGCTCTTCGTGCCTTTCCGTAACACCATCTATGACCGTCAATTCGGCGAAACCGAAAGAGAATTCTCTTCAGTAATTTCTCAAGTAATAATAAATTACATGTTTGACTTCACACCTCCCACTTGACCTTCTTGATTCTTGAATCCAAGAGGTCACACCTACTACTTTCCTTCCAAGTCCTTGTACTGTTGTTCCACTGGGAGCAAAACAACTAATCGCCGAACATCCCTACGAATGATGGTTGATGGAATTTTAGTGACTTCCCATTTGGTAATTTTCCTCGTTACCAGATTTCTCTGGTCCTGAACAAAAAACTGGGTGACTTGAGGAAACTCTTACTTCCACATCTCTCACAATACCTTTAGGATCAGCATTTGCTTGGTGACTCTTCCTAATTTGTATTGACTTCTAAGAGCATTCTGGTCTGCAATCCAGACAATGTCCCCTTCGGTAACATTCCTTTCCCTTGTGTGCCATTTACTCCTTACAAACAGGTTTGGTCCTGCCAACTGGCTCCTCTTTCCCAGAACTTGTTGAATTTCTCCTTGGATAACCCGTAACCTCCTGTATGGGTATCCTGCAAAATCGAAATCGCCAGGATCTCCTCTTGGGCTTGCTCTTCCAGCAACAGGGAGTTCGGTGTGACATATTCCAAACAAATACTCACGACTTTGAGTTCGTGCATCTATCGGCCTCTCATTTACAAGATTTGCTGCCATATACAGAAAAGTCTGGAATTCCCCCCAGGTGAAGATGCCATTGCCTCCTAGATTGAGAAGAGCTCTTTTCACAACACGAACAGCAGCTTCAGCCGCTCCATTCCTGTGGGGTGAGTTAGCTGGATGAAACTTCCAAACCCACTCAGTTCCATGTTTCCCAGCTTCCTCTTCAAATTCTGGTTTCTTTACTCGCTCCAAGAATTCATACAGGTCTTTCAGGGCTGACTGTGCTCCCACAAAGTTCGAACCTAAGTCTGACCACACTTTTGTGGGATGTCCTCTCAAAGCAGTGAACCTCTTGTATGACAACAAGAAACTTTCAGTGGATTGATCGCTTACAACATCCGTGTGAACAGCCCTTGAAGCCATGCAGCAATACACGATGCCCCAAACCTTCAACCTCACCCTTTTCTTCACTTCATCCTTCACTTCAAAAGGGCCGAATAGAATCTACCGTAACAAACTCAAAGGGTGCAGCTGGTCCAGTTCTTTCAGGTGGGAGATCACTCATGATCTGCTTGCATTTCTTGCCCGTGCTTTCCTGCAGATGACACAACTTTCCACCACCTTTTTGGCCAATCTCCGACCTTTCACCACCCATGCTACTCTCCTCATCCTCAGAAGTGTTCCAGCAATCTCTTCATGGTTGACATTATGCGCCTCATGAGCCAGTAGCAGCGATACTCGTGCTTCCATAGGTAATAGTGGAATTGTGGGTCTATCTCTTTCAAAGGCTTCACATCTTCCTCTGCACACAAGAAGTCCTGTTCCTTCTTCTTTAAACACAACCAGTCTGCACAGTGTAGTCTCAGGGAATTTTGTTACTCTTTTGTGCTGCCAAAAAGAGTGCCTTCAAAGCATCCTCCTTTCCTCAACTGTCAGTACAAATCCACTGTTTCAACTCTATCTTCTTTCCCAGATGATGAATTTATACTCCTTTTCCCAAGCCATTTTCTCACGCTGCGCCATACCCAGCCAATGACTCTTGCCAACCTTGACAGACTACTGAATCTTTCGACATCCACCAGTCCTCCAGTAATTAGTCTACTCAGCATCTTCCAGTGAAACGACCTCTCAGCTGCTGATACCTTCTTCCCTTCAGTTATCTCCTCCATTTGGGCTCTAGTCACTGCTGCAGTGAAGACTTTTCCTTTGGATCTTGTTAACACTTTCTCTAGCATTATCAGCAATTTCAGCTGCTGATCTCTTCGGCATTTGTCCACTGATTCTTTAAGGAACTCAGGTCCATTTTGCCACATAGAGTCTTCATCAAGATCTTTAGAGCTCGCCCCTCGTGTGATAATATCAGCGATGTTCAGCTTCCCTGGAATCCACCACCAGTCATCAGTTGCCCCTGTCTTCTGAATCTCTCCAATCCTATTTGCAAAGAAAGTTTTGAAACCCATAGCTGTCACGGTGAATGGCTCCCAGCACCGTCTGACTATCACAAAAATGGAACCATTTCTCCACTTTGATTCGTCCATGTTTTTCAAAGTATTTCCGTAGACGTATTGCAAAGACGGCACCACAGACTTCAGCTTTCACTGGATCTCCTGTTCAGTTCTAGTGGTGTCAGTTTGGATTTAGACTCAACTAAGCGAACATCCACTCCTTGAACTGGTATCCCACCTGAGGTATAGTACTGCACCATAAGCTTTGTCACTCCCATCCGAGAACGTGACTCCCCATGGTTTTCCTTTCCAGTTTGCAGGCGTAAGACTTCTGTGGAACTTTATTTTATGGAGT